GAAAGAATTGAATATTTAAAGAATATAATTATCATTTTAAATACTCGCTTAATAGACAGTCGTCATAATGCAAATCATTTTATTATTATAAAACGTACTATTTTTATTTTTTATAGCAAAAAATTGAAAAGTTTAAAAGTTATTTCTTACATCAATTTTATCACGATATTTTGTCACGTCATAATCACTTGAAAAAATTTGGTATTGCCCACAAAGAACTGGAGTCATGATGTAAGAATACAAGATGAAATATTCAGTGGATGTGAAGTAGAAGAGTGAATTTTGGGCAAAATTTGATTGATTGTTTCCCTGCTATCACTATTATGCGCAATGCTACCTTGTATTCTTATATCATGATGTTGACCATGATATAAGAGTATAAAATATTCCATTGCATATAATGGCGGCAAACTAAATCAGCACAACCAATCAAATGCTTGCCCCAAAGTTAATGGAATGCACTTGGTAACAATCACATTCCTTTTAACAATTTCGGACAACATTTTGAATGATCAAAGAACAACCGCCATGTTCCAGACGACTGCGAATCCTTGTGAATGGAATACCTTATATTTATATCATGGCGCTACCGAGAAAATTGCTTTGTTATTTTCATTTCCTAGCTGATTAATAAATAATAAATATTAGTGTATAATTTTGAATCCATTTAATCTCATCAAATACAAATAAAATATTGAACTGTCAGCAGAGGCATGAATGTTTATAGTAAAAGGTAATAACACTGGCAATGACTCGAAGTGACAAGTGTGTGATTAGTTCAGAGTTAGTGTAATAGGCTACCGTTCTAAGATCGTAGATTCAAATCTCATTTTTTTCAAAAATTAATTGTAGTTAGCAAAATAGAAAATAGATGTGCTGCAATTGTGAACACAAATTAAACTGGAAAGATAAAAAGTAATAACAAAGAATTTTTTTGTTAAAATATAATTATAATCTTTTGATTACATAACAAATTTTTTTATGTAAGAAAATTTTTTGTTAATATTTCTTTCAAAGATTTGCGTTTCAAAACTATATATATAAACTATTTATTTAATTCTAATAGAAAAGAATAACTTGTTTCAAAAAATTTCATAGAGAAGTGCTCGTCGAACTTTAAGTCAATGTTTTAACTCAATCTTTCATCAATCACACAACTTAGATTATTATCACTCAAATCTTTCAGTTTAAAATTAAATTCATTCTTCTTTATCCCTACTGTAATATAAACGCGCGCGCGTTTACGTAAATATTTATAAAAAATTAATTGCACATAACTACTGCATGTCGTTCTGTTTCTTAGTAAATAGTTCAGTATTCATAAATGCTTGTCATAATGTGTACATATAATAGATTTATGTGTGTGTGACATTACTGTGATGTCGAATTTTAGTAAGAGACTCTAATAAATTTAAAATCGATTTTTATCAAAACTCTATAATCAGAAATATTTAATTATTTCAGAAAAATTATTAAACTGTACGGTGTGGAAATATTTAACAATTGGACAAAAATTTGATGTGTTTTATGTATTGTAAAAAATATATGTATATATATATATATACAATAAATTATAAAATCATTATAAAATTATAAATTGATATTCATAGGTAAACATAAGATTTTTATTGTAAAATTATAAAATCAATTTTATAATAAAAATTTTTTATAAATTTTAAATTGCATTTATAAAATAGGTATACACTACGTTTGCAACAATTTTTCTTTATAGAAAAAATAACAAATATAATGCAAAATTTATTAATTAAATCAATGTTCACAAAATTCCAGCAAAAATGTAACAAAACTTTGCTGCTCATAAAGTGAGAAGTAAACAACAAATAAATGGCAAAAACCGAGAATATAAGCACAGCACAATATAATGGCAAATTAGTAGCAAATATCGAGCAAAATTTGCTGTTAGATAGCTCGATCATTTGACGTGCTTTTTTAAATATCCTTAAACAGAACTCTCTTTTATGAATTTTTATACATAATTAATTCTAAAAATATCATTATGCTTTATGCAGATTACGAATGGTTTAAAAATTCATTCGAGAAAATATATGGAATAAACCTCAGGGTCGAATCTCTCTCTCTCTGCGATCTTTCCAAGTAACACACAGCGCTTATAAAGCGTTAACAAAGCGCTAAAAAAGCGCATATGATCACTTCTTTAACGCTTTGTAAGCGCTGCACTATGCTACTTGGATCGTCAAATATAAAAGTTAACCGCTTTCACGCGGAGCAATATTTTATTTTACACGCGCACACACACACACACACACACACACACACACACACACACAATTCCAATTATAATATAATTTTATATGTTTCCAGGTATATCTCCATTAAATTTAAATTGTTACATTATGAAAATGTTATATTATGTTATTAATTACATACTGCAATTGTTACATTAAAGAATATGTTAATTTATTAAATTTATTATAATAACATTGTTATAAAATTTGAATGTATAAAAAAATATTATTTGTCTTTTTCTTATTTTCTAAAACTTGTGAAATAATAGGCAGAAGATATGAATAACCGTTTAAAAGCATTTAAAGCTATTTAATTCAAGGTTTTTAAAGTAATTTATGTAATTGTGTATTACATTGAGAAAAGTTAAAAGATGTTAAATATACGTGAACTATGTCAACAAAATTTTGTAATTTTTTGTTCGACAAATATTTGCTTAACAGCTCATGAATGCATGTATTTAGATGAATCAATTAATATTTTTAAAAATTTATTTCTGCACACATAAATGAGTCAATAAATAACGTTAATTTACACCACTTTAATTTTTAAAATTTAGGTTACTCATTGACTCATCTAAATATTTGCACAATTATTTTACTACTATTCTTTATATTATTTAACAGCACATAAAATTCATTTTATATATATATATATAATTATATTTAATTTATTATTATTTAATAATATACAATTACTCGTTACATATAACTATAATCAAATAATGTTAATATTCTACGTCACATTTCGTGACCATGATGGAAAAATTGTAATCATAGTGATAGTTTTTGATAGTTTTCAAAAAATTACTTTCATTTCATGACCTTATAAAATCAAAGTTATCATATTCTAGAGTGCAGAAGTATTTTGTTTTCTCTGTTTGTAGATACACTCTTTGCGTAAATGAGTCAGTTAACACTTTCGTCAACAACCTTCGGGTGACAATTTAAATAACAAAGTTTTATATTTTCATAAATTTTCTCGTACTTACGGTATACGTAACTTGTACTGTTAAAGTCATACTTACTCTTGCGTATTGAGACGTGGACGAACGAAAATTTATTGCTTGATTTAAGAAGAACGTTTATTTCTTTCTCTGACGACGTTGAAGTATACCAGATTCACATTATCACTCGGCTCAGATGAAATATCAATCCTCTTGTTTAACTCAATGTTTTATTTTAGTATTTTGGTTTCAATTCTCGTCTATCTAAAGATCTTTATTTTCTCTCCGTCTCTTTCTGTTTTCCTGCTTTTCATGGAGCACGAAGCGCTCACGTGAGTTCCGATCGAGCGGGAACTCGTAAGTTCTACAGAAGAAGTCGTATTGCCTTTTCTTTCTTAAAGATTATATTTATAATATAACGCGATAACTGACTTATCAGCGGATTATTAAAGTTGTTCAGGTATGATTTACAAGATTATCAGAAAAATCCAAATGAATCGCGCAATCCTGCAGTCAACAAATCAAATAAATTCTGCCATCTGCAAATATACAAAGAGATAATGACGACGATTAAACAGTGATCTGCACTGTGCGTTATCTGTATCCTTATGCTTTACGGATTTCTCGCCAATCTTGGAAATGTGAAAATAATTCGGAAATCGCACGCTTGCACTGCAAGTTGATGATAAATAGATTTCACTAATTGATGTCGATGTGGGAATTCGTGCGTAGCTTCACTATGAAAAATTTCGCGATTTCGAGAATAAATTATTTTTAATAACTCATCTGTGTTGTCCTCGAATTCCACTGGAAATTATTGCCGGCATTTCCGCAATCGTGTAATCAGGGTTTAGTCTCACAGAGATTGACAGATTTATGAGGGTAATCATCCGAGAGATTGACAACTTTTTTTCCGTTTGAGATCGTTGAATGGTCGATGAACGTAAAACAATGGATAAGTAATCCTCGTCGATTTTGCAAAATGCTGAGTTTTTTTTTTATTTTTCACTGAGAAGTGGGAGGGTGATAAGAATAACGAACCGAAATTAACGTGAAATGGTGACAGACCGCACACGACTGGGCAAGTTTCTTAGCGTTAGCCAGGTATATATATATGTACAGACAGTCAATACATGAGTGACTACCGCGACACGAGCTTCATCGCTCATGCGAGTACATCAGAAAGGGAGGGAGTAGATAGTGACAGCAGGTAATGTACTCGATTCGACATTACTTTGAAGTGTGCACGAGAGTGTGGCGGGAATTAAAGCCAATGGTTTTGCTTGCCAATATTATAGATAAAAAATTGCTCCATATACCGAATGATGGGGGTTTGACAACGCTTGAAGAGCTAATTGTGAGAGGAAAATATTTTTCCATATGTAGATATCTATAATTAATTATTGCAACAATGCTGAAATATTAAAAAATTTAGGTATAAAAACTTTTGACATTCTAACAATGAGCCTAAGCTTACTTATCTATCGCACTTAATTATTTGGATAATTTAACAAAAATATTTGCAGATCTGTATGCAACTAAATTTTATTAGATATGTCAGCAAAATCAAGTACAATTATAGTACAAAGAAGAGAGTGAGGGCGAATAACAGTTTAACTTCTTTATTTTTTTTATTAATAGAATCATTTATCAAGTGTATGATCCCGACGTCAATCGAAAAAAATCGCCTAATTAGGAGTAACAAAGTCGAGAATATTGTGAAGTTGAAAATAAAATCGAACATAGAGTTTGACACGTACAAAATATATATAATAATTATAAAGGTATTTGAAAATATTTATGTGATTTACAAAATAACATTTAAATTCTTTCTGAGATACCTCAATGTTTGCGAGTTTTTGAATAAATAATCAGAATTGACGACAACATTCAAAATTATTGATCGAAGCGCTATTTATCGAGCATATAAACATCGAATTGCTTTCCGCTTTCACGTCTTTCCCTCTACCTAATCCTTGCGATATCGCTTCCGCTTCTCTATCCCATTGCGTTTATCCTCGCTGAAGTGCTGGTGACCGCGTAATTAATTGATTAACGACACGTATATATAAAGTCGAAGGTTCAATAAAAATGGACGCGACGAGCCGCTCGAATCAGATATCGTCGACACCTCCGATTCCTGAAGAATACTACATCAAGTAACCGTTGCCTGTGTTTTGTACCCATAGGGACGTCGGTTATTCGACTGTGCGATCAGCTCGATTCGCGCCTCCACATCACATGCGTTCCCTTTCACCTTATCTTCGTCTCTCTTTGTTCGCAGATCGCGCGCACTCACCGTCTCTCTCTTCGTTCTCTTGCAAAAAGGTCCCTGGCAGGTCTCCCTTCTCTGGACCGCTTCTGCGCCGCCGGTGTAGTTTCTCATTGTAGGTTGTCGCTCTTGTTCCACATCGCGAACAGCGCAACTCTGCAGTGCCGCGCGTTACGTAAACGTCGGCCAAGGGAAATTGAAGGTGCCCCGGAATGTCGCAAGTGCTACATTCCACTCTTTACGGAAATGAAGGGTCCTCGATACCGGTCAGATATCAATCACGTTGATCAGACATTTAGAAGCGAAAAAAACAAGACGAGAACGATCATCGAGATATGTCATCCTTATGATGCCATGCCGGTACGGCAAACTGAAATGATCTCATAATGAGCGGAACATGAGATATTTCTTTGTGCATAAGTCACAATGCGGGAAAATAAATACAGTTGAAGAACATTGTTATAAAGATTTCTCGTGTATTCTATTTGTTCTCGTCCTCTTTCGCTTCGTTGCTCTGGAGAATCTGTCCTTCGTTGCTTACTGATTATCTACATCCTCAAGTGACATCAGACTGCTTTACGTTTTAAGTTATCATAGGAAGCATAATTTTGCGCTAAGAGTCTCTCAAGCAGTTTGACAGACTGTTAATCAACATTCTTCCTCCTTTTCGCTATATTCTCTAACAATTGACCAGGTGCTCTCTATTGTCCCAAAAATCTGTAAAATAATACAAACGCGTATTGCTTTATTTAAAGATTACGACGTATTAAAATTAAATTGCTGTCCCAGATAAACAATAATAATGTTTATATACTTATACTCTTATACTCGATAATCTACATTAATTAAACTATCTTGAAAACTGATTAAATCTTGAAATTAAAATTAGATTCGGAAAAATAAAAAAAATTATGTAAGTATTTGATTTAAACAAATTTTTTAAGTTTAAAACTTGTAAAAATTAATTTTCAACTAGAAAAAATTTGAAGATTAATTTTTTTTCAAGTTTTTAAACTCCAAACTTGCAATAAATTTTCATGTATACAGAATTTATACAGTATAATGTATACGGTATTTTCACCTATATGGAAACGATGATTGTGATAAAGCGTCTAAAGATTTAGCTAGATATAAATCTAAAAATGATTTTGTTTTTATTATCATTAAAATAATTATGTAAGATGCTCAAGCTGGTTGTTAAATTATTGAATTTTTTTCAGCATTATTTATCATGTTGAGAGTCTAATACGAATATAATTATTTTAATAGTTCCAACAAAATTATTTTTTGATTTGTATCTAGCTAGATTTTTAGATACTTCTGCAAAATTGTATTTTTTTTGCGCATTTCTAAGAAAACAATGCACCAAGATCATTAGCCACACGACGAAAATAGTAATGTTCTTTGCGAGCAACGTTCTCGTGGCTCCCATCCACTTAGTCGATGTCTCGATTAGTATGGGTATCAGCAGCATGATCGTTGACATGCCCAAGGCGGAGAACAGGCCCAACAAAGGTACCATTTGGGGCACGGCGATGGCCACCAACGCTATGGGCAGAAAGAAGGACAAGGACGAATTATTTCCTGCTAATTACAATCGACATTCGTAACATTAAATGCTTATAATCGTGATACGCTTACTGGTGATGACTACACCGCCTAATCGAAGCAAGCAATTATAAATTCGAATTTGCAGCGAACTCTTGGTGGCGATTTTCACGTAGATTATAGGCCACAGCACTTTGATCGGTACGTAGTATGTCAAACCGAAAGAAAACAGGACTGACAAGGTAATAGCTATCTTGACTACTTGGGCCAGGCTGCAAAGAGTAACGTACGATAAAATGAATAAAACCATGAATTGCAATTTTGAAATCGATACAAATCTATTATAAAATTTATTGAGCACTGAAAAAAATGTTTGGTTGAAAATGGAAAAACCAGAAAATTCTGATTATATCAATCAGAATTTTTTGCTTTGTCCATGATACTGTTGTAGTATTTTGAAATTCAAATAATAACGATTCCTGGTAGATAATTAATAATCGTTTTTTTTTATCATCATTATAAACGTATAACATTATACTTTTACAATCTTCTGAGCATTAATTTAGATCTCTTTCCTTTATATAATAATCGCGTGTAAGAGAGAGAGAATGTCATTATTGTATAATTGTATCACAAAATTTATTTTCACACTGAAAAACATGTTTGATTGAAAATGAACAAATCAGAAAATGATATAATCAGAATTTTCTGGTTTGTTCATTTTCAATCAAACATTTTTTTCAGTGTGAAAATAAATTTTGTGATACAATAATGACATTCTCTCTCTCTCTCTCTCTCTTACACGCGATTATTATATAAAGGAAAGAGATCTAAATTAATGCTCAGAAGATTGTAGAAGTATAATGTTTATAATGATGATAAAAAAACGGTTATTAATTATCTACCAGGAAACGTTGTATTATTATTATTATTATTATTATTATTATTGTATATTATTATTTGAATTTTAAAATACTACAGTAATATCATAAGAACCTATATACGTACATTACAATTTTATTAATTTACATATAATCATCGAACTGTAAAGAAAAAAAATTTCATAACAAATTATAAGATAAGCTACGTCACCGGACACGTGTTAATAGTGATATAGAACGTTGTTCGTTACGTATAGATAAGCGATTTAATAATTCACGCGAAAAACTGTGTGTACTGTGATATTTCAACTGAAATTGACTTCAAACTAATTTTAAATCCGAGTCAGACATGAGTCCTTCATGTTTACGTGATCAAATTGACCCTCACAATTGTACATTGCGTATTTCTTTTCTACGGTCTGCCAGCTCGTTTTGCTTTTGTTAAGTTTAAGTTATTCGAAGGTCTCGTTGCCTTGTAATTCTTACGAGAAATACAGTATATACAAAGTAAATCATAAATATTGAACACGTAAAGAATCATACAATCACGTAAATGTTAAGCACATCCTGTTCTGTGATCACCGACTACGCGATGTCAATTATACAGTCATTTAAAACAGACAGCCGACATATTTACCATTTGTCGCACGTTAATGCACAGTTTAATTGCCTTTGATAACGATTTGTTTGCAATTCCTGGCAAATAACAAATTTTTATTTGCACAAAAAGCTGATGTAATTTCTTCAAATATTTCATTTGTGAATGGCCTATAAAGCTAGCAGTTTTTCTTCTAAATATAATTAATTATAATTGGTGGAAAGAGAAAAGGAAATGAGCTTTTGATAACGATTTCTTTGCAATTTCTGGCAAATAATAAATTTCATTTGCACAAAAAATTGACATTCTTCAAATATTTTGTTTGCAAATGATCTGTAAAGCTAGCAGTTTTTCCACTAAATATAATTAACTGTAATTAATCGAAAGAGAAATATATATATATATATATATGTATATATTCAACATTAAAGTATTAATTAAATCTGGACTAGTGGTAGTACGAGTGTTTTGCAAGACAGAAAATAATCCACTTACGTCTCCTCCATTGGTAAGTTCTTGATAACGGTGTCGCAAGCATCTGGGTACTTGTTGTAGCCCAGGAAGCCGAAAACTAGGTATATAATAATGTTCAGGAAGGTGCTGGTGATAATTATACGCGGCATATGACTGGGATGCCTCATCGTGTTCTCCAGCGGTAGGTACAGGGTCATATTGTGCAAAGCAAACAGGAAAATTGCGCAATACATGGGCACAGGTAGAGCTTCCGTTAGAACGTCGAGTCTACTGGGATCGGGAATATCGTCCAGGAAGTAGTAAAACGCGGTGCAAACTCCAAGGAACAGGAAGAAAGTGCCGATAATGGAGAACGGCGCTAGATATTTCAGGTTCGGCACGAAGCCCAAGGCGCAGGCAAAGGGAAAGAAGATGACGATATAGACACGCGAGTTCAGCTGAAGGTTCGCGAAAAATTCTATCACCTGAAAATACCGTCAGCATGAAATTACCTAACTCTAATTTGTTGTTTCTAAATCAAAGATATCGAAGATTATATCAAACCGAGTGAGAGCTTTATCGTAAAAAAAATGAAAGTAATCGCAGTTTTTTACAGATATCGATTTCTCGCAATTTTACCTTATCTTCCTGTTTGTTTTGATATCTGCTATTTTTGCAGCAATAAAAAAAAATATGAGACTGACGTAAATAAAATGGAATGTGAGTCAAGTTTTAATAAAATCCTTCAAACAATCTTCGCGATCGATGTTTTCCTTAATTAAAACATGAAGCTATAATTTCCGGATACAAGCCTTTCCATAAGAAGGACTTTCCATAAGAAAAAAAATCAATTGCGGTCTTTTCGTCAAAGAATTGATCGTTAAAATTGAGGTCGGGTTGTTCCGGGTTGTATCCTACGTAAAAGGATTTTTGTACGTAAGACTCGCCAAACGGACGTCACGATGCCGCTTTATCGTTTCGACTTCCGGCATGAGTCTCGCGACGTTGTGTCATACCTGTTGGAACGATGTGGCCACATATAAGATGTATATCACTGCGGTCTGAAAGTGCACGAAGAAAATGAGCACGTTGGTAACTACACCGAATAGCCTGGAGTACTTTCGAATCCTCTCCGGACCTGATTGGAAGGAGAACTGCGCCGTTTCGGCTAAATCCAGCATGGGCACGCGATTACGTCTGCATAATATCTGGGAGCACTGCACCTGCACACCAAAAAGGAGAGAGAGAAAGAGAGAAAAAGAAATTTGCCTGCATTCAGATGCGTTTCGCGCGACGGAATCTTTTCTTTTTCTCTATGTTTAATAGCTTATCTCATCAGCGACGCCGATTCGCAAACAATCGGGTTATCGCGATACTATATAAGGGCAAGAATTGTAAACAAGAGGATATGCCTCTCTCTCTTTAGCGTTTCTCGCTAATTGTTTTTGAAACACTATAACACGATAACATTCGAGATGAAAAAAATCATCGCTTTCCACGTTCTCACATACGAGAATGACGGCCACGTGCATGCACAGCATGCCCATGACGATGCCGCAGACGATAGACATCGCGTAGCCGGTCCTTCTGAAGGCATGCGGTAAGAAGAGTATACCGGTACCAATCGCGCACTTCAGCAGATGCATGTATACGGCAAAATCTCTGCAAAGATTTTATCACAAATAATGTAAGTGTGTCGTGTCAATATATTTGTTTATCAATATCTTGGTACATAACTGAAATTGTAATAAATAAGATAAATTAATAAGATTTAGAATTCTCGATCACTAGATTAAGAATCTCGTTAATCTTTATTAACATAATATTATGTAATTTATTGTATATGATAAATATTTGATGTAATATTATAATTGATGACAATGATATAAAGCCCCAGATACAACGCGAAGGAATAGCGATAATGATAGAAATAACACAATTTATCAGAAACTGTATATTCCAGTGTATCTGATTTCTTAATATGTGTTTTAATCACAGAACTTCGCTATAAGTTCTATGGTTTTAATGTATTATGCCCAATTTCTTTACCTCTAGATCCAAGAGATAATGAAGATATCTCCTGAATAAGGTTATCCGCAACTTATCTGGAAGTGAAGAAATTGAGCATTAGTTATCTTAAAATTTTGATTTATAACTCTTTTTTGATAAACCTAATGAAAAGTTTTAGCAATAAGAGGGAGAACAATATGGCAACGAACGTTTTGAAAATTTTTTAATAATAATTATTTATATATTATACTATATATATTACTTCCATAATTTTTTCTAATGTTGTCACGAATGCAACTTAGACTTTTAACATTTTTATAAATTTTCAAAATATAAACATCAATTCTTGTCTTGAAATAATTGATTGAATAATCAGTATGCTCATGAACAGGAAATATATATAGACCGTCATGTGATCTTAAGTCATTGTTTGAATGATATAAGAAGATTTAAGAGCGTATGTATCTGAGAACAGCTTAATTGTTATAATATAGAATTAGCTGATACCTCTTATCAGCTTACACATTTATCAAAAAATTACACAGACCTACAAAATTGAGGGTGTTAAAAGATATTTAAGAAATACAATAGGAAATTTTTCATGTAATCTTGTACGTTGAATTTGAATTTAATACTGTGGAATTGGCCTAGCACAAGTTTTTAAAATATTTAAGATTAAAGTATCCAGAAATTGCTACTTTGAATTTCAAAAAAGATACAAATTATTAAAAAAATTATACTTTTACCTATTTTTACCCAAATTTATATTTTAATCCTAGTAAAAATTTTCATGTCGCAAATTGGTCTGGTCAGATTAGGCGTGACACGATTGCAATAGTTCATTGAACTTTTATGCGACATAAACCTTGGATACATTCATAACAACAAGCACTCACTAAGCGCTCAATGAGCTCTTTTATCTGATTCCATTAATTAAATCCTAAAACATAGATCAGCGTACAAAATTACGTAGGAAATCACTCCTATTTCTCAAACATCTAAACTTTGCAGGCCTATGTTATATTATAAATTATGTTTTATTATAATTTATTATAATTTTGAGATAAATCCACTTTATATATTGCGCACAATTCATGCAGAAGAAATATAATTAATCACAATTTTAACGCTTTAAATTGTAATATTGTAAGATCTTTTTTAACAGATTTATCACGAATTATTAGTTTAGTTTAAACGTACAAAATCATATCCTAATCGACGTTCATTAAAAGTAACATCAACGTTATAATTTTGCACTCAATAATAAATATATCCACAAAAAGAACGAATTTTGCTAAAGTATCTAAAAATTAAACTAAATATATAAATAAAAAAATAATTTTGCTGAACTATTAAAATAATTATGTAGGACCCAAAGTCGCGATCCATTAGTAGGCTGCAAGTAAATTTTTGCTGGGTCGCGAAAAATTTTAGAATTTATTTCCTTGCGACTGAAAATGACTATCAAATCAATGTCAATATTAAGACTATTATTAATATACATAAGAAACAAGTGTACTTTTCATACATCTCATACATCTAAAAAATATATCAACAAAAGTGTATTTAATAAAATAATAAAAAAGAGCACTAAAATTAAGTATAAATAAATTAATTCTCCTCTCCCCGTTTTTCTATCCACTATAGCTAGATAGATTTGCTATTTTAAAAAGTGGATTGTGATTCACAAAACTTGATGTAGGATGTTCAAACTGATAGAATATGAAATTATTTATAATATTACTCATCACACTTGAAATTTCTATGTAATTATTTTGATAGTCCAGCAAAATTATTTTCAGATTTGTATATAATTAAATTTTATTGTTCTTTTCGTGTGATACTAATAACAGTTATACTAATAATGGTTATATTGTTGAATGTAAAATTATAAATGATGGTATGTTACTTTTAGTTGATGTCGATTGAGATATGTCTTGAGAAAGTTCTTAATTGATGGCAATCAGGAGAAAGATACAAAACGTACGAGGTCAGAGGTGCAGATGGACGAGCGGCAAAGGGATCATACTCGTCCTCCTGGATCTGCCGTTCAGCTTGAACATCCTCTGCGTTTCGCCTCATCGGGATGTAGGATCTATCGACATTGTCGATCGAGAACGTAGATACGATAAATCGGAATATCTTAATGCTTAAGAGAAAATGTCTTACTTATCGATACCGCGCGTTGTCTCCGCAAGATTTGCCGCCATTCCTGGATTTCTTTGATAATTCTACAGTCATTCGGATCTCCCGTGAGTCTTCTGCTCGTGGATTCCGTACAATGTTTCCGTCAGACTATGACAACCGATAAACCACCTATTAACCCGCTTGCGTGGCGTTCAATGACGATAATGCCTTTCCGTAAACTCGTTTAACAGAAATGACATTTACGGTAGGAGAACATTCGAGCGCAACTTGATCGTCATAGAAAATGCGACGGTTTCAAAACGCAGCGATTTCAAAACGTGATTAAACCACACACGGGCAATTACGTCGTAACTTTCATTGACATTTACATCCGTAGTACGAAGTCGTCTCGAATTATCGATTTAAATCGCCTGTATCCTGCGAAACTAGAAAGGAAGAAACCGAGATTTTTGAGCCTGCATTTAAAATAAAATGTTAAAGTGCTTTCTTAAATTTAAAGAGACAGGAAAGTTAGATTACTCGAAATCTTTGATAATTTTTTATGACAAATTAAATAGATAAAGTTTTGAATGATATTTATACAATTAACACACAAAAAAAGCAAAAATTATTATTTTATTGACAAATAGTTATATAAATAAACAGAATTTATACAAATAAAAAAACTATTTATATAAATTTTTTTTTCGAGATTATCGTTTTGCAATGATATCTCAGCTTTCATGTAGTTCATGATGAATTTTAACTATGATGAAACTTCTGCAAAATAGAGCAAATAAAAATTATTGCAGATTTTATTAACAAAAGAATTCAATATTTTTATCTTTTTACACTAAAAGTTCAATTCTCAAAATAAAATGGTTGTCCATGATTCATTTTATAGCGGCGAACCTTTTGAAGATTTCTAACTAAAATTTGTCATCATCGGATCGCTAAGATATTATTGCAAAACGATGACCTCGAAAAAGAAACGGAATATATATATATATATATATATATATATAGTATGTCCGGAAAACAGGGTTCAACATTTATAGATATGATACTACATACAAAATTGTTTTTATCTCAGAAACGAAAAATTTTCGATCTATATCTATTAAAGGATTTGTTATTCACTACAGTGTATACTATCTACCTTATAAATGTTGAGTCTTTTTCTCGAATATCCTACATATATTTACATATGTGTATGCGTGCGCGCGCATGTGTGTCGTATATTTATACAGTATTTTTATCAATAACAAATATATTTTTTTACTCTATATATTGTATAAATATCATTCCAAATTTCAATTTTGTACATTTATTTAGATTATCATAAAAAATTGTCAAAAATTTCAAGCAATTTATTCCTCTAGTCTCCTTAAAACTTTCAAGTATTAAATATTTTTTAACATAAAAGTTTCTCGACATTATACATTCTCTTTCAAATAATTGCAGTAGTGTGTTCAGGAACTACATATTCTCTTGAAATAGTATGAAATATCTATTACATGTTATTTATTATTATTACTCGTTGTTTAACGTGCATCACATATCCTATTTTTTTACTGCGAAATATAACTATGTACATATAATAACATATAATAACAACTTTAAAGAAGTAATTTTTTTCACGTAGGTTACATAATGTTTCCTTAGTAATCGGTGAACTTGAAATATTTTACCAGCCAAGGAAACGTGTGATATTGGAACTGAATGCATAATTATTACCATTTTCCATTTACATTGTATTCGGGGAGCGTGCTATCAGTATGCCATTGTCATTTTATCTTTATCGTTCATTACAGACAGAACAAGAACAAAATGACGCAATAACGCTGATAGCACACCTCTCGAATGCATAAAAACATTATTACTTACATTGTTGGATAGATACAATATATGATAAAAAAAACTGCGCAGTAATAATATAACAATACTATATTGTTAAAAATTCTACAATTTAGCTTCAAGGCGTAAAGTCGGTACTCAAAAATAACGAAAAGCTTAAAACGGTGAAGTAATTTGTTTTGTAAAATTATTGAAATGCATTTTTAATTAAGGAGTTCTAAACGACAGGACATATTCTTCATCATTTGTGCAATTATTAGGTGTTGGAATTAATTCGTAGCGTTTTACAAGTGATGGGAAGTACTTTCATTAATGTATTTTTTAATGCTCATGTGAAATAAATAACATTCTTTCATTAAAAACGCTACGAATTAATTCCAACACCTAATATATAAATGCAGAAATGAATTGTCTCAATTTCTGTTGATGACTCAATAAAATACGTGAAAATTGGCTCTAAAAAAAGCTTCTTCATCGACATTTCTCTTTACCAGAAGTAGTATTTACTTCAATCAATATTCTTTGATAAGTTAATAGAAATGAGAAGTCTTGACAAGTTTTGTGAAATAGTAAAATGGAAATCTTTCATATTTATCGCAAATTAATTTCCTATGAAAGTGATACAATAATTGAATTGATCTTATGGTAACAGTAGATCACATTTTATAAAATATAAAATAATTCTAAATTAATTATGGAAAAAAATACATTTATTTGTAGTCACACACTCCTTTTAAAACTCATATTTTGATACATGTCTGAAGAGTTTATTATTACAGATTATAGATTAATAAGGAATATTATAAGAACAATAAAATTCAGTTATGTTGTGAATTAGCCCATTATTTAGTAAGATCTTCAATTATTTTTATACTAAAATAATATTATATAAAATCTCTATTACATTTCATCTATTACATCTCATTATATTGAAAGATTTTAGTAATATTCTGATATTTGAATGTTAATTTTATAATAGATAATTTTTGACGTAGCAACAGATAAAATATATTGCAAGTAATTTCTTTTAATATATGTGTGTGTGTGTGTGTGTGTGTGTGTGTGTGTGTGTGTGCGCGCGTGCGCGGTATTTACATACGTGTGTGCGGTATTTACATACGGTAATCCGTCAAAGTCAAAGATTTAGGACTATTAAAATTGCATACTAATAATAGATATCTTCAAGTAATTTCATTTTATTAATAGGATCACATTATCGCAGATTCGTTACAGATATTTATTTACATTAGCGCTAATTTATTTAAATAAATCACGATGTCGTCTATGTACAAATATGTCGGTGTATGTATTCGTAAAACAATAATTAATAATTCTATGATGATAAGATATATCTAAACTAGATAAAATATAATACAGCAACAGCGTTATAATAACCGTCGGTATCGGGAGGATGCTATACCTTCGCAATCCTTTTACACGCTCTTTCTCGATTACGCTTGTCAATTAAAGATATAAAAATAATAGCCTCCAGTCGGCAGTATGCACGCTGATACGGGCACTAAAATCCACCGGCTGTATGAATAACAATAATATCTGAGCATTTTCGTGGCGTCACGAATCCCATTGTACAAAAAGGAAAAAGACAAGGAAAAAAGCAAAATTCACCTCGATTCCTCTGTTCGTTTCCGCCGCGCATAAAATCATTAGGCGCTAATAAAATAATAAGTAGAGTCCGTCAGTCCTGTGACTTATACCTTAAACTATATGTTAATCACATGTTTCGCGGTTATTTATAACTAGGATCACAGGCTCTGTCTGTGATTACTCAGTGTTCACAATCGTCATTGTTAGTTATAAATAATTAAATTGATTGTTGAAACGAGGAACTGTGTAGTAAATAATGTTCTTTCCGGAGTCGGGGCATTATGAGTTTACGCGCATCGAAACGTAACTCCGGTGTGTGAATTATCACGAATTCGACGAATCTCAACCTCCCTGGTAATAATAAGTGAGAATTAACACATTGCTCACTTTTATCACTCTCAGTTAAAATATACATTGTATGTATGAGCAAAGAACGAATGAACAGAGAAAATTAAATTTATTAAAAAAGAAAACTTGTTTATCACACTCTATCCGCATTCATTGTCCGTTCGTTGTTCATTCCATGTATCAATGTATATTCATTATTGCGTCCAGCGAACGAGTGCACGATAATTAAACATGATATGTTATTTCCGACAAAGTATAAATGGAGAATACTCAACATTCCACGTTTGATAAGAATTTCAGCGTTTGTCTTGTCTTTTAAATTTTTAAACAGTCACGCACATTTCACCCAATTGTAGCACAATACTTTTCATCAACTAAATATCAACTAAATTCAGACATAAATTCGCATTATTATAATATACGCAATAAATAAGAAAGCAATTAATCGCAATGTATCAAATCGAAGGTAGAAATGCTAAATGGAATACGAAATTGCAGCTACGGAATGTGAAATATCGACTGTGCTATTATTCTCTGTTGCGAGCTAATAATACGATCGGATCTTTTCACACACTCAATTGCTAATGATACCTTTTTTACCGAAAGTTTTTCGCTTAGAGATCAAAGAAATTACAAATTCGTGAGAAATATATAAAAATAGCACTGTATATGAGATATAAATATAAATTACATAATTGCAAAGTCACCGAACGTAAACCAAGTAATCGAAAGTTTGATTAACAAACTCATTCTTGACGTTGGTTAGGTAAATCAAATATCGTTTATATTAAAAATAATACCAAACATAACATCAAATAAATATAAACGCTTGCCTTTGCGTCTACTGATATGCGACTCGATAAAATATTCAAAAATATTTCTCAATTGATAAGAATTACATATATGCCTCTTGATAAGTTAGGTATATGTTTACACATAAGAAATTCCAATAAAGATAGAAAAAAACGCATAGTCTTGTTCTTCTTAAAAAATTCAAAAAGAATGTTAAATATATTTTTAGTACATATCTAATTTTTTTTTTACTTTATAAATAAACATGATATACTTGTATGAATTTGAAATGTGACCATATTTAAACATGATATATTTGTATTAATTTGAAATTTGACCTTTCTTATTTTTGTATCATCAATGAAAGTGATAATAACTTTAACTTTTTTTGCACAATTACTATATCAGCTATATCAGTTATGTACATTATAAATCAATGTTCGTGATGCAAGTCAATACATCGTTTTCATTTTTGATTAGATAGCAAAATTGACTGCTAAAAAATCTCCGTCATGTTATAAAGGTATATGAAATATTCTTTAAATGCAACTCGAGGGAAGTACATATGAGCCCTGCGTGGAAATGGTATTGTTATATTTCAGTTTAGAATCATTGAATTTCTGTCTGTTTAGAATCTC